TTTCATCTCCTCTGCGCTCCCTGCAAGGGAAAGGCTCAAGTGGTAGAGTTCGTCCTCCTCAGGCACTGGAGTTTGATGAGAAAAACCAAAGTCTGTCTGTCTGTTAGGAATTTTTTTTTTGTTGTTAGTTTCTTTCTTTTATTCTCCTTGAAACTCTCATTCTTACTTCTTGAACTGATGTTTTTGTTTTGTATGCTTCGTGTAGATGAATGGACAGATGTGGACAGGAGACGAGGTACTGTACCCCGGCAGCTGCATGCAGCAGGCAAACACCCCTCGGTGCCCGCGGGGCTCGTCCGACCTGAACACGCCCCGTGCTGTTCCCGCAGCCTTCGAGTCACCGCGCCAAAGATGAATCATATAACGAGGGATATAATTCCTCGTTTAGCACATCCGCAGTGATGAGGAGCTGCAGGAAGCCCCTTGCATCCCGCTTAGGTGGCAGTGGCACAGATGCAGGTCCCACGGTGACCCATCAGCTGCTCCTGGGAGAGGTTTGCCCGCGAGCGCTGCTCTCGGGGCGACCTCTGCGGGTTACAAGGGAGGGACCAGGCAGGTCCGTGGCTGATGGAGCCATGACAAGGCAGCTTCGCTTGCCTCCGGCCTCGTTAGGAACAGTAAACCTATTGCAAGGAGAGCATGTGACTGGGTTGGACTCATTACATTCCCTTCACTGCCTTGAAAGTCCTCCGAGAAGCACGAGCATAATCCCGGCTCCAGTCTCATGTCGTGCATCCGAGCCGTGGTACGTGGCAGCGTGCTAGACGCCGGGCCGTGCCTGTCACTGGGACGTGGCACCGTCACTCCTCAGCTTCTCTTCTGTCCGTCGCACTGTCTGTACTTGGTTTCCCTCTCCCCATCCCAGCTGATGAAACCCCTCTCTGCTAACCTGCTTTTCTGCTCTGCTGCTTGGCGTGCCATTTCCCTGAGCTAACGCTCCTTCCGTTGTTATTTTCCACCGTTAGAATGGTGTAAATCCCTCCCTGGGGACTCCCTGGGCTCAGAGATCTCCTTGCTGTGTCATTATCAAACATACCGTGCGAGATTTGCCCTTTACTGTGATTTTTTAATGTCGTTTTCAGTTCTTTTTATAGCCAGTACAGGAGGTTTTAATTTCAGAAGATAATTTCTGTAAGGCTGGGGGTGGGGTTAACTCAGATCTCCTGGTTCTGTTGTGAATCTCCACCAGCCCCAGTCCGTGTGCTGGGACGTTGTCTCTCTCCTGATGGTTTTGGTGGTTAGGTGGAAGCAAGGAGAGAGAATCGCGTCAGGAGGTGCTCGCCCTCAGGAGAACAGCTCCCCGGGTCCGGGTCCTCAGCACCTACAGCGGGTTCATCAGCTAAAAAAGACGCAGTGATGGGGACAGGAACTTTCCTTTGGCTGTTTGTGTGGCTTCAGTGCCACCGTAGTGAAAAGCCGGGCACCTGACCCCCGATGAGCAGTTGCAGCAGGACTTCAAACACCTGATCACCACCGCTGTGCGCACGGTCACTTTTCTTTATTCCTCCCTTGGAGATTTTTCTAATCCACAAGAATCAGGTGAATTATGAGCTTCAGTAACAGTCACCTGCTGAGGAAGATCTGTGCTTGTACAGTCATCTGTGAGATGGAGTTTTTATTTAACATTTTTAATAGAGAAATAAATGCTTATTTATGATAACTGCAGAATGTTTTACGTATATGATAAAATTACCAAATGGAGGACAAAAGCTAAGAGAGTGCATCTGCTCCAATCACTGCAGAATGTTTTCTGTCTTCTTTGCATTACAAGCTCAATAACCAGCACACAGCCCTTATGCTCAGCACTCCTGCTCTCTACATTCTCCTGAGTAAGTCCCATAACAGCTCCACGTCTGAATGTCCACACCAGACGTGAAGCACTCGTAAGGACGTTGAGGGTTCTGGGCGTCGCGCTGCTCCAGCACCCATGGCTGTGGCTGTGTGCGAGCCCTGGGTGGCCTGACGTAGATCCCGCTGTTATAAACGCTTCCTTAAATACTTGCCAGCGTTAATCCCTTTAACACAAATACTTCAGGGAGCCTTGAATCATTCAGGAGCTTCTGTTTAGCAGGAAGAATAGACTGATGGTGTCAGAGGGTAAAGAGAGCGCGGGCAGGGTCACTGCAAAAACCCAGAGCGATGCCAGCCAGGCTTCTTAGGCAGCAGAACTGCAGCTGTCCCAGACAGCACGTGCTGGAATAGCCTATAAATGAAATTGTTGACAAAGGGAAAGCGCTAGCCATTGCTGTAAAAACCAGGCACCAGAACCAGCCGCATTCCCGCTGGAGATGGGTTTGGCGGCTACCGCGCCAGGAAGCATAC